GCCCCGAACCAGATATCCTGGGTTTGGGTCTCCGTTCTTTCACTAGCAAGTTTTTATATCTTTTGTGCGTCTCAGTTTCTTTATCTTTAAAATGGAGCTAACAATAACACCTGTTTCTGAAGGTTGTTGTGATTTTTAAATAGTTTAACCTTATTAAAGATTGTGCCTGTCACATAGTTAGTGCCCAACCAATCTTAGTTGTTACTATTACTTGTTGTGAAAATAGAGTAATTTTAGGGTGTGACTTTAACTTTAAATTCTGGGTCATATATACACCTCTTCACAGGAAGGACTTTTCACAAATAATCACACTTTTCCCTCTCTCAAAAGTTAGAAAGAGAGCATCTCTCTAATTCCACTTAAGCTATCAGTTTTTGTAATGAAAAGAGCACAAGATGGGGAGTCAAGGTTTAGGCATCAGTCAGCAAACCTTATCCCCATAAATTTTTGTTGGACTATCTATGACCTGGACACCGGCATCAAATGCTGGAGATTTAAAGATGATTTAAAAATGATGAGGCCAGGGAGACTTCAGATGTGGCCTGAGTGCCTTGGAAGTGGTTTAGTAAACCCCAGGCTCTGAGTGCCTGTGAGACCCTCTGAACTTCTCTGCCATCATTGTAAAATGACAGGTTTTGAGTTTAGTCTATGACTATGAGTACATGATAAAATTTCCTCAGAACTGGGTACTTAGCGCTATGCTCAATGCTGTGCTAGATGACTTGGGACATTTAAACAAGTATAAAACATTTTTTTGGGCACTGAAAGTCTTTGATCTGGCTGAGAAACAGCATAATTATAAATGGATAAAAAGAGACCGAAGGGATGAGAGAATGTGATGGTTATTGGTTTTAGCATTTTATTGTATTAATGGTTAGCTGTGACTTCTGTACTAAAGTACTAAATTATCTGACTATGCTATCCAAAATTCTTCTTTGTATAATCTGCAGAATATGGTACTTTAGTTGTCTTTGTTCTCAAACATACTCAGCTTTAAAATAGTGCCTCCCTAGGATATTAAGGGAAGGTAGGGATTAGTAAAAGGTAGATTTTTAGAGCAAAGTTGTTCATTTAGAAATGTTTTTTTCATTACAACACCAGGGTGCTTTTTGTTTTTGTCACTGCTGTGTTCCTAGCACATAGCGCAGTACTAAGCACTCAGGAATTAAAGTTGATAAATTTGAAATTTTAATTGTCAGCAACTTAAAAATAATTTAAAATTATTTCTCTAAACAAAGTTATTCAATTGAATTTTGGTTTTTGAAATCTTAGATAACTGTATGTTAGGACTACCTGTCAGTATACAAATAATAATTTTAATGAAACCAATAACTTTTTGTGTAGCGGCTTTTTCATGCTTGTGTTAGGAAATGGCTTTCTAGAAAAATGAACTGTTCCCCGCTGTGTGATCAGTTACCTCCCTCTGACTCCCCAAGACCTGAAATCCAGGCAAATTGCTCCAAAAATTCTGACACAGAGGAACTGTGAGAGATAATAAATGTTAGAAATATGAAGTTTTGTATCACAGTGTAGAAGATTTTATGTAATTTCCTTAAATACTGTTCATCCTAAATCACCCCACATTTTTTCTTTCTACAAGTAAAACACTTTAGAAGAAAAAGATAAACCAAGTCATCATTTCTGAGTTTCCATAGTCAATATAAAAAGGATATATTTAGCCTTAAAATATTTGTAGCCTTAAAATATTTGTATTCATTATAAAACATAAAACTGCAGAAAGGTAATCAGAAGAAAGTTGTAAAAATCACCCTAGTTCCTGCCAAATTTTGGTGACTCTTTTTGAAATCTGTTTATGTACATACACATCCATATGCGTAGATCCCTAAGTGGAATACATACTATTCATATGTATTTTCTAGTCTTTGTTAAACTTTTGCCCTTTTTTGATTAATAGAAAAATGAATGTCCTCCATCAGTACAATGTGAAATTTCATAGTAAATTAAACAACACGACCAAACCAATTTTAAGCACAGGTAATTTAAGAAGAAACATTTTAGTTTGATCTTAAAAGAACCTTTAGGTAACATGACAGTGACTTGATTCTAATAAATCTGTTTATCCTAGGTAATACAGAAGACGGAGCATAAGACATATTTTAAGTAATTTGCTAAGTGTTTCATTAGAGAAACTCATTGCTGGTCAGGATGGAAACCTGCTGCTGGTAACCGCTTGTCTCCAACCATTTAGCTCTCGGTCCCAAACTCCTATGTTCTTTGTAAGCCAGGAGTCCTGTGGTTAACTGGAGGTTAGCCATTTTAACTTGGGGGGCCCTTTGTGGAGTACATGAGCTTTCCTACAGTATATAGCACTCTCTCAAAGGTGAGTTTTGGCACATTTTTCTTCCATCTTTTCCGTAATGTTTCAGTGGTCCTTACAGATTGCCTAGCCCACCCATTAATCTGGCTGTTTCCATACCATCTCACACTTTACACCCTTGATTTTCCTCCTTCCTAAACTTGCTTCTCTCCTAGTTGACCCTATTGAGTAAGTCCTTTTGTCTATGTCGTGCCTGCTGCTCTGCTAGTCCAAGTAAACATCACCTTTCTTGCTTGAAATGGTTTCCCCTCCTGTTTCCATTTTACCTCGTCACAGTCCTTTTTTTCTACACAGTAGAAGGAGTGATCTTTGGAAAACATAGATAATATTACTGTGCTTACTCTTCTTAAAACTCTCCTTTGTACTTGGAATAAAAGCTGAATTAATTGCCACCGCCTACAAGGCACTGCATGAACCGCCCCTTACTTACCCCTTTTGCTATTCTCACCCCCCATTCACTCTGCTTTAGCCACATTGCCCAGATATATCAAGATTTCTTCCCCCAGATATGTCAAGCTTGTTCCTGCCTTCACGCCTTTGCACCAGCTGTTTCCTTTGCCCAGAATGCACATGGTTGGCCCTTTTTGTTATTTAGGTTTCTCATTTCCCCCCCTCCAGAGGTCTTCCCCATCTTCCAGGGTAAAGTAGCTCCTGTGCAAGAGCAGCACCATTTGGTTTCTTGATAGCATTTAGCGTTCTGAAGCCATCCTTCTAGATTTGTCTCGTTCATTGTATTGCTCTTTCCTTGCTAGAATTTAAGTTCCACGAGGCTGTAGATTTTGTCTGTCTCGTCCACTCTGTATTCCTAACACATAGAACAGTACTCAGCTATAGAAGTCTTACATAAATGAAAAAAGAATCAGTGAATGAATCACTCAGATGGAGAACTGTATTTTCTAATATTCCCAGGTCCCTGCAACCTGCTGTTCAAGGAGTCAGGGAGGAGGGTGAAGGGGCAGAACAGAAAAGCACTTTCCTAGTCCTGGTTAAAGCATAAAATTCAATAATGTAATATGTGATCCAACAGTATCTATAACATTTCAGGAACTACACAATTTCACATTGAAGAAGGATGAGTTACTCAAACAAACTAGAAATAGGTGAACCCGGAGGATTTCTTGTATTATTAACAACTTTAATTATTTAGCTATTTAGATAATTTTATCCTCAAATCCCAGAACACAGTTGATTGTGAATTTTAAAAATATTTTAAAGTATTGCTGGTTGAATATAATTTAGAGAAAAAATTCTGTGTGTTGCTTGTAAGGTCATTACTGTCACAAGATTATAATGCTGTAATTTATTTGTTTTCCATAAATATTTTTGAATAACTACTGTGTTGTGAACTGGAAAAGATTATAATATGAAGGAAATATTTTAGTACTGTTAATAAAATGTGCCCTGAAGAATTTTTTATATTAAAAAATAAAGGAGTATGTGAAAAATTGAAATAGATTATTCTTCACTTGATGCGTGGTTTTCTATGGTTTATAAATTAGTGTTTTTATTGGCCCATGCAGCTAAAGAGGAATAATCAACCTAGTGTTTGTTAAATATATCTGAGGTAAAGTTTTTTTTTTAATTTAATTTATTTTATATAATTCTTACATCACTTTTCTGAGGTTAAGTTTGTCTGATTGTTTTCTCTTTCACATCCAAATAGTTTTGGGAAAAAATAATAGTCAATTTAATATGAGATCTGACTTAGTTTTTTTATAGTCAGCCTTTTCTTGAATTTATTTTCAAGTGACTGTTGCCTTTCAAAGTGGCCAGCTAGAAAAATTGTACATGTATTCCAAACACTTCCATCCTTAAACTACTTTTGTAGGTTCTTTTTCAGAAATGCCTTAGAGTTAGTTTTGGAATTACTTAGTAAAAACTTCACTTTTAAAAAATTAAATGAAGACTTAGTTTCCTCAGTTGACTTCATATTGATCTTTTATTAATTTATTAAGTGAATGTTGATGTTATACAGTAGAAGTTTTAACTAATATAAGATCTTGAAAGACAAAGTAAACCTGGGAAAAGAACATTATGAGAGAACATTATGTAACTTTGTGAAGTAATAGATTGGAAAAAAAACAACCAAGCTGTTGAGACCTGGGTGACTAACTCACTCCCCTTTAAATTTGCATTTTATCTGAAACCCAGTAAAGGTGCATTGTGCTCTCCTGCAGATGTAAGTTATGGGGTGCCAGATCAAGAGGAAGTGCCTTACCTTTGGGAAAAGAGAGCATACCATCTGGTACGAGAAAAAGGCTGAGTGCTCTTTTTTAACACAGTAAAAGCTAAGAGTCTATTTAAAATATGACCACAAAGCAACTCTTCTTTGACAATTCTTGGCATCAAAGACTACAGACCTGGTTTGGATGACACTCCTGTTTTAAAAATTGAGATATACTTCCTTCAGAGAAGTGGGCGAAGAAGTGCTAGTGTTTGTTGTTAGAAGGCATGGATGACTTCTTGTGAAATAAATGAGTTTCTTCTTTCAGGGTAGTCTTCTTATCTTAACCTCAGTGGCCATGAAGGACTTTTATTTTGTTCTATGAGCCAGTGTTTTAATTTTTCATCTATAAGAATCCCTTTTATTTATTTCATTAAATATCATAAATATATGGGGTTATTAAAAAAATCTTTTATTCTTTCTAACTTTGTTTTTAAGCTGTACATCATTGACTCCTGGACCCAACTGTGACCGATTTAAACTGCATATACCATACGCTGGAGAGACATTAAAATGTAAGTAAACGATGACTACTTTGCTGAAAATGTAGATGATAGTGCTAGTGATTGGACTTCGTGCTTTCGTTTTTATTTCTGGCTTTTAGGTTTTAACTCCTAAGACATCGATCAGTAGGATTTTACTACTTTTTTTGTTTGCCTTTCAATCCTGTTTCTATTCAAAGTCAGAGAGTTGGCAGGGAATAAGTTGTGGTGAAATAGACAGGTGCAGAAGTTCTTAACTTTCAGGCATCTGCAGAAATTTTTGTGTTTTTTTCCTCCACAGGCAGATCTTATGTAATACGCCAGTAAAAATACTTTAAAAAGGTGCTTTAAGATACCTGACTATTTAGAAACAGTCTCTAGGGAGGAGCGGTAGCTCTCTGCCACCGCTGCCAAGGCCTCGTCGCTGCCAGGGCTGTGTCTCTGGTTTTCTCTGCTTGCCCCTGAGTGGCCTCCAAGCCTCTTAGCCTGGCTGAGGGGCCTCAGCATGTTTTCTCTTTCATAGTTGGGGGTCAGAAAGAAAATGACTCTCAGGGATAGACTGATCTCATATATAGGGGAGGAGGCTAGAGTGGCAAATTCGGTCACACTTACCCATCTTCAGGGAACTGTCTCTACTTATTGAGAGAAGGTACAAATCTAAAACCTTTTCTTAAAAAGCAAATTTATTCATTCATTCATTAAAAATTCACTGGTTTTTATAAAAATTTTGTCAGTTTACATATTGGCTTCTTTCAAAATAAACACATACTGTGGGCCAGCGTTGTCCAGGCCAAACCAAGTGTGTGTGTGGCCTACTTGAGCTCTTGGACCACTGATGTGTGACCTCAGTGAACAGCAGGCAAGACCAACCCTGTGGTGTCACTCTTGGTTGTACTTTCTTTGAAATAATTACCATGACTGAAGCTCTAGCCTCATCTGGAAGTGGTGCTCACTTTGGCTGCTTAGTATGCAACGTCTCATCAGGAATTTTCTGTTGGATCTATATTTGTGGCAAACAGGGTATCAGAGTCTCTCGATTCTTACATAGAGGAACAACCGGCAGAGATGTGGAAGATGAGACAGATGAGTGAGCAGCACCTGTCAGCCCATGGCCTGGGTGCATTACCATTCAGGCCGAGCAGGCCACAGCTTAGTGTTTTGTAGAATCACTTTACATTAATTTATCAAATGCAGCATTAAGAGAAAAATTTATGACATGTTCACTTGTTAACCTTGCATCATTAGGTGATTCTTTGGAAATCATTGAAATATAAAGGATAGACCTATCTCAGGATAGATTAGATTGCTCCTTTCCATAAAAAATATTAACTAAATTGAAAAGAAATGATCACAGGCAATCATTCACATGGTTTAAAATATAAATGGTTCAAGGTTTTTTTTTGTACATGGAAGCACTAAGATCCTCTTTCCTGTATCTTTCCAGTCTTAGCCCTCTTTTCCAAAGGAACCACTTAAAATTAAGAAAATTGTTTCAGTTGAGTTCTTCAGGGAATTATCTCCTGAATAAAATGCTTTTGACTTTCTCCTTTTCTGTAGTCCTTCTGATAATTTTTTATTACCACAGTCTTAACTAAACACCTTTATTCTGATAGCTCCCTCTTGCCCTTTCCTCCTCTTTCACAACACCTTGTTCTTATTATGATTATAGTTTTTTTTTTTTTAAGAACTTTTAAAGGCTGTAGAGGTGGTTTTCTTTGTAAAGTTTCCTGAATCGTTTTGTTATTTATCATCTTTCCCCCCTCCGTTATTATGTAGTGTTTCCTCAAATAAATGGTGGTTTATGGTTGTCCAAAAAATACTTAAGTACTTATATTTAAAACAGAATAAAACTCCAGTTGGGGCTTTCTAATAGGTGAGCAGGTCTTAATAGATGAGTGTGTAGGTTAGTGGTGAGCCCGCTGTTACTACGAGGAGCCCCTAGGTGTCATATTTTGGAATTCAAGTATGCTGGCTCTCCATAAATAGTTTGTTCTATTTCTTTAGAAAATTCCCTGTTTGTTTTTCCTGAGGATACACATCTGACTGTTACGACATTTTGTTATATAGAGTATCCTCCAAGGAGCTTTTAGTTAATCTCCCAGTTCTTAGTCCCATGTCTCATTCTTGTCTCTCCTTACACTGGATGAATATAAATGCTTAAGGGTTTATCAGGACAGATGGCTTCCTCCTCATTAGTAGCCTTTTCCTTGCATTATTGTAGCCAGAGCTTTCTCTGCCTTGTCTCATCAAGTACTATTCTTGCAGCTGCATTTTGCCTTCTAGGAATTTGTTGTAATTTCTTATCTAATGATTGCTACTCTCTTCCTTACTTTTCACTGTTCTCTTGTTTTGGATTTTTATCTTTCTGTTTCTTCACTATCATTTAGTGGGAGGGTGGGTGTTAGAAGGGAGAATAAATAATAAATGTGTGTAGTCTATAGTTTTAAGTGAGAAATAATGTGACTTCATAATGATCTTTCTAGCTATATGAGTTTATTAATGTCCTATATCCTCTCATTACTGTAAGAATTTTACAGGAAACTTCTTAGAATGTTAGTGTATTTGGAATGGTAGTCACCATACATTTTAGTTAATTATGTCCTGTCAGTTGCTTGATATCATCATTATTTACTAGGGACTTAATTTAATCTTTAGACTGCTCGATAATAATTTAATAGTAAGTGAACCTTGTTTACTGAGGTTCTTGCTCATTAAGGTGAGTCAGTGTCCCAGCATTAAGCAGCTCTCAGCCAAATAAAAGGAAAAGACAACTGATTATGGAAATTACATTTACAAAAGTTCATTGAATTGAAAGAAGTTTGGTATTTTTGAAATTCTTGATGTTATTTAGGAATGATTTCTGAAGGATGTTGTCCACATGATTAAGTCCCGTGTTAGAACCAGGAATGGGCCAGGGGTTGCAGAGCCAGGGAAAGATTTGATTTAATAGTCTAGAGGAAAGTGGCATAATATTCAATTTCTTTTAGGCTTTGGGAAAGCATAATGTTTAAGACCCCATCTCACCATTCGCTTTAAAAAATTATCCAAAAATCTCAGAATGGTACCCTCTGAGATACTCCAGTACTTCAAGATGGAGGTCAATGATAAACTTCTTTAAATTTTCAAAATGAAATTATTTTTAAAAGCTATTGGAAATGTGATAGGCTCATCAAGAATAAATGAAATCAACTACAAAAATTAAGAAATATAAGTCATTGTTCTCTGAAAGTGTAAAAATGGAAAAATTTACATAAAATCAAAACAAATAAACCCTTTGAACACATAGTTAAAATTCAAGTAAAAATCAATTGAATCATCTTTACTGACCCAGTATTTTGTGTATCTGTCCACATAAATTTGTTCTTGTCACTGATTACATGGCAAGGTTATTTTACCTTCCTTAATTTGTATACTATTTAGCTTGTGTTTATTTAAACTTTCTTTCTTTCTAGCTATACTTTTAAAGAATGTTTCAAAACTGTACATTTTTTATAGATGTTTCTTAGAGGAGTTTGTTGAGTCATGATGTGTTGGTGATAGTTGTAATGTAGAACACTTAGATCTCTTATTAACCTCAATAATTAGTATATTATTAGTATATTTACTCTGTTTATGGCTTGAAGTTATTACGATATCAACCAAAGTTATTGTGAAAAAGTCATTCATGCGAAAGCTAAATTTTTAAAAATGTTTTTCCCTTTTATAAAACAATACTATTTTGCATTGCTTTAAAAAGAATGCTAGCTTTTTTTTAAAGCTCCCTATTTTACTTAAAAAGACCTTGCAAGGATGAAGATATTTACACATTTCTACTCCATTAATTCTTAAAACCTTCAATCTATTAAACTTTTATCTATTAAATCTTTTTAATTTTTAATACCTTAAATCTATATCCAAGATCAATAAGATTTGTGATTGAGTTTAACAACTCCTTCAACAAATGCAGTATTCATTTTTAGAACACAATTCTCTACAACAAACATTTTTTAAAACAAATGTAGTTTTCTAAAACAAACATATGTAATTGAAAGCTTATATTGTTTAACAGTCCTTGGAAAATAATTACCCCAGTAAACAGAAAAGCTCTTTGCCTTATTTAGAAAACAGCCCTAAATTGAAACCTAATTTTGTGGCAACAAGAAACTGTATAGATTTAAATTACATTCTATGGTCACTACTAGAAAATATTCTCTAATTTTTACCTTTATCTTTCTAAGTAAATGGTAATGGCTAATTCAGTGCTTTACAATCTCAAAATCATTTATATAAACAACTTCTTTATCAAAACTTTATCATTAGATTTCATTGAAAACTTGTGGTCTGAGGTTTAAACTGTAATTTTAACCAAGGCTGAATCAAGTATTTGGAACTTACTGTAATTTTATTTCATAACTTTAAGGTAGAGATGGAGACTTTTTTATTTATTAAATTGTATCTTCAGTCCCTACTACAGGACAGATGTTCAGTTAAATATTTTTTGAAATACTGGAGTGAATACATACATGAATTAATGAATCTCAGTGTTCAGCTTTTTATTGTTTGAAGCTTATGGTGTCATAAAGACTGTGGAATTTTGTTACTTGTATCAGTCTTTTGCCAGCAGAAATCCCAGTCTTTAGAAGTTACTTGTTTTTTTTAAATTTTATTTATATTTTACATCATTCTTCACTTTTGTATGCTTTCTCCTCAGGTATAGTCCGCTTAAATTCCCACCACTAATTCATTTGTGCACCATCACCACAGTCCTTTGTGTTCTTCCCTCCCTTGTTTTGATCCCTCTCCCTCCTCCTCTCCTGCAGAATGTCTCTGATTTATGGCTGTCTGCTAATTTTTAAAAATTTATTATAATTAATTTTTTTTCTGATCCCTTATTTTGTTTCTCCTATAGTCCTCCTATAAGTGAAACCATCCGATATTTTTCTTTTTCCTTCTGGCTTTTATTATATGAAGAATTTGTAATTGGAACATTGCTCTTAATTCAGAAAGCAAGGAAAGACATAGAGTACTTTGCAGATTTGGAGTCTGTATCAATT